AACCAAAAAGTTACCCATTTCGTGCTCTATACACAATCAGACAAGTCACAAGTTTAGATATAAAATTAACTCTAACTAATGAAAAATATTTATAAAAGATGTTTGTCCCTTGTTAGATGGTATTATATTTAGCCAATATTTTTGGTTAGATTATGCCAAATAGATTCTAGTACAATAGATGGCAACTTAGAATTTGTACACTCTCAGTACAGCTGTATTCTGTCGTCACAAGTGTCAATTCAGTTTTTGTGTCCGACAAGATCATCAATAATAGTGATAATTTTAGAATAAAGTGCTTTTCTTACAGTAAAATAAGTGCAATTTTATGTGTTCTTCAGTTTCTGTTTTTACACTTTTTTATTTAATCTTGGAAAACAAGTCAACTAATTTGAGAAAATTTTCTTTTCCTTGTTATATTTGACACTTTTGACGTCATGTATAATTGGTTCATTTCTCTGTTGCCACCTATTGTACTTGATAATCTATTTGGATTATGCTAAGTTTAGACTGAGCCGACTCGGGTGCTGGCAATGTACGTTTGATTAGGTATAGATTGTACAGTAATATTTGAGAAATCGGATGTATCTACACGGCAAGGAAATTTAATTGCGGTTGCGCATTCTCTGCGTAGTGCGTACATATTGGGCAGTATTTGTAAACAAGAAAAGATGCATCAGCGTTCCTCTAGCATCCAAGGAGGATAAAGCATTTAATTTTGATCATTTTGATAATTCGCATAACAGTTTCCTATGACCAGAATATTGTATTGATTTTTTTATGTGAAAGATGGATCCCACATCAGGCTGTGACATCCGTCTTGTGTTTACACAGCCGCCCAGAGACAGTACACTGCAGTACAAAATATGGGTACACCTGTGGAATATCCAAGGTTATAATGCAAGGAAAGTTAATTGCAGTTAAGTTTACTCGGCGTACTTATTGAAACCAGTTCTCTCTGGGCGCAATTTCTAAACAAGAATAGATGCATCAGTGTTCCTTTAGCATTGAATTTTGAAAATTTGATAATTCACAGAATAGTTTCCTATTTCATTGATTTTTTATGTGAAAGACCCTTGTCAGGCTGTAACATCCGTCTTGTGGTTACAATACCGCCCAGAGACAGTACACTGCAGTAAAAAAGATGCGCTCACCTCTGAACTAAGTTTCCTGGCATTACAACCTTGGAAAAATTAAGTCTAAGTGAAAGACGACATTTTTAATCATATTTGTTCGAAGGTTTTACTCATTTTCAATTTATCCTTTAAAGCAATAATATATAACACTGATGGTTAAAAATGGGTACCAATTGCAAGATTGGGGTTTGCTAATGAAAAAAGAGAATAAATCTGTGCACTACAGCGGGAGGAGATCAAAACAAAGAATTCAGGGGCAATTCATAATTATGTTTTTATTATAGGTATGAACATCATAATTTGTGGAAATTATATTGACTTAGATTGAATTTGAGACGATATTTAAAAAAATCAATTGTTAAACATAAAAGTAAAAGAAAAATTACATATAAAAAGAAAATTTTTTCTGAATAAGTGACTGATAATTTAAGAACTATTTGAGGATATTAAATCGACAGAGAAAGAGATTCAAATCAAATTGGTTAAACAACTTGTTTTCAAAAAACATCCTCATCAAATGTGCATTAATTGTATTTGATGAGATTGTATACTTTAATTTAAGTAAACCTTAATATAAAAAGAGGCATGTCTGATTCAAAACAGTACCTTTATACGCTTTTTTGGAGAACATGCATTATATGAAGCCTACCGCTCGGATGTAACTAAACCTTATATCATTTAGTCCGAGAAAGATGTAATTATTTTACATTTTAATACATTTATATAGACATAGACGTTTCATACATTTATTATCAAATAAGAATATCTATATTAACATTTTTTAAACATATTTCTAAAACATAAACTCAGCTCTTTCATTAAATGTTCTTACATTCGTTTTGCTGCTTTCGATTAATATTACCTTTTTTCCCCATTCTACTGAAAATCATTTTTTAAAGCAATATAGTAATATTCTAAATTGTCTTTTCAATAGGCTCTTGTCCCCTATACAGGGTATCTCCATGTATTTTTTGGATTATTTCCGATTCTCTAGATTTAAGATCAATCCAATCAAAATTTGTTTTATTCAATAAATCCGCATTAAACATAATTCAGGGCCTGTTCAGCAAAGAGAATAGATTATACATAGAGTGGAAGATGAACTTTGTCAGTCCCTTTCAGTCTGAAAGGGAGTTCAAAGTGTACAATTCATGTAAATGTTCACAAATTATACGCAGTACATCAAACTTATACAGTATGATCCCTGGACTTATCCATATCAATTTCTAAAGAAATAATTTCTTTGTTTTATAAAGTTGTTAAATAACTTTAAACGTGTGTATTTGCTAAAAGTGAATTAAATTAATTTTTTATTAAACATTAAAATGTAAAAATCGTCGTTTGTACCTAAATAATTGTTAATCTTTTTTGCTTCAGACGTTTATGTATACTGCAATTAATATTCCTATATCAAAAAGGAAGACTTTTAGGGCGCTTCGCGCCCATAGCTTCTATTTTAATTGTGAACATTTTCGCTTTGTATATCATTGGAAAACAAAAATAAACAAAAAGTAATAATTGGGTTTCAATTTTGACAATAAATATTTGTCTCAAAATTTTAATGATTTTCGTAAATCAATGCAGAACACATACCATGGCTGTCCCAAAATGCAAAACAATTAGAAGACATCTGCAGCAAGGTGATTCTAGGATTAAGCCAGGAGGGGGTAACATATTTTTTCACTCCTCCCCCCACCCTCCTTGATAGGGATAGGGATCTTCCTCATTGTTACTCAGATCTCGAGATAGGTTGATAACCAGTGAAGAAAAAATTTTCAGATTTGAAAATATCAAAATATTTTTTTTTCAAATCCAATCACATAGCAAAAAATGCAAAACGTCCTTGCAAGATTTATGCAATATGCTTTCTTTTGTCAAAGGCAATTTAGATAGATATATTGTCTGCAGTTTTGCAATGTTTTGTTCTTTTCCTTTGAGGTATTACAAATAGCCATACATTATTTTTACTTAAAGAAAAATGGCATCAAAAAGAAAAATGCCGTTTAAAGCTCATAAAACCCATTTCAGGCTAAAATCTTGACGTTCAAATTCAACCCTCAGCCATACTTTTTTATCAAGAAACTATAATGTGTTATGTGTCAAGGGTTTCTGGTCCAAAAAAATGCCCCCCCCCCCCACTTGCAAATTCCAAGCTACAATTTTTATTTATTAAGTGTTCCACTGGTAAGATGTTTTTAATCCATTCTTAAAATAGAATTTCTTTCAAACTATAGCAGCAATTCCCGCAATTTTCTAGGGTTTCCGCCTGACTTTTAGCTGTCTCGTTTTCCTTCCATTTCACAGTTTTATGAGTCCCACTGTATAAAAGTTATGAAATTGAAATTAAAGAGTTGATAATCATTTACCTTCCTCATCCTCAATTTTAATATTTTGGTAACTTGAGTATTTCAAATATATTGGTTTTTACTGTTTGATTACCTCAAATAAAAAATATGTTTTTTACTGAATAAAAACATCAAATTGAGTCTTATCAAAGCTTACACTGAAATGAACTTGGGAATGCATGATAGGCTATCAGAGAATTGATTTAGAGAAAATTAAATAATTTTCAAGGCCCAAAAGGTTATATAGAACAAATGTGTGAAGTGCACCTGTAGTATGGAAACAGTACAACAAAATGGCCGTTTTACACTTTCTTTTGAGTAAATTCCACTCTATTCATAATCTATTCTCTTTGCTGTTTAGATGATTTCCTTGAGGCAGAATTTACCGCACTCATAGTTATCTTTGATAGATCTCTTTAGAAACATTTAAACCTTGAGAGCAGGGATTCCAGGGAAAAGGGTAAATCGTTTTGCGAAAATTTCACATTTTGCCCGGATAAGAAAAGGTTTGCCAAAAAATTCGCATATTTTCGCCTTTCGTTCGCTTGCGAAAATAAATTTTTAAATAAAATTTGTCCCATTTTTCGCGAAATTTTGCTTTCATCTGTTTCGAGGATTAAAAATTTTTCGCGAAATAAAAACTGCAAAGAAATTTCCGTTGGAAAAATTTCGCGAAAATATTTGAAGAGTAAATTATCAATTATAATATAAAAAACTTCTAATGCTGAGCTCTCAGAGTAGAGAATTCCACAAGTTTATTTGCGCAATTAATTGTTGCAGCTATGGTTTTCCAGAGATTTTTTTCGGGGAAATTTTTTTCTCGCGAAATTGTGCGAATAACATTTTCACGAAATTGAAATTCATTTTCGCGAAAAGTTTACGAAATGCTTACGAAAATGTTCGCATTTTTTCTCGAAAGTTTTCGTTCGCTAGAAACCCTACTTGGGAGGAAGGATTTAAATCATAGGAGAAAGGTTTTTAACGTTGGGAGGAAGGGTTTAGATACTGGGAGGAATGATTAAAACGTTGGTAGGAAGGATTTAAACGGTGGGAGGACGGGTTTAGAACCTGTTTAGGAATTGAGATAATGGATTTTAAGCTTTGGGAGGAAGGATAAAAATCTTGAAATGAAGAGTTCAAACATTGGGAGGAAGGATTTAAACATTGGGAGGAAGGATTAAAACATAAGATGGAAATGTTTAAACCTTAGGAGAAGTTTAACCTTGGAAACAAAGATAACTTTGCATATTTGGACCATTCATAACGTATAGTGTTAGAAATTATGTAGGAAAATAATTTACTCTATTTTGTTTTAGTTTCGTTTTATGATATTTTCAGAAAGCCTTTTAAATAAAGAAGATATTGTGTGACTCGGCTTAACCTTGAGGTTTTAAAAACCTCCGTAACTGTAATAATAAACAAACATGCATCAGTCCATTATAAAACGGCTCCGTTTCTAGAGGTTTATAGAGTACAGTTTATTAAAGCATCAACATATTAATTATTAAAACATTTCAGGAAACATATACTGTCATTAGCATTTAAAAAGGAATTTACACAAAAAAAGATATTTGATCTAGTCCTAGTCCTAATCAGTTTTATGATTGCAGATCTGAAATAAGAATGAATTCATTTTTTTTGTACAAAAAAGAAGGACAATGGGTTGGCAAAGACGATTTACAAACTGCAACAGGATCCAGCCTCAGGATAAGGGTAAGATCCAAGACTAAGTTAATTAATATAGCATGAAAAAAATTTGCCAGCAAATTACACATATCAAAAATTCTATAAGACAGACGTTAAAAATGATAATCATGAAGTTCATGTCTTAAAACCAAATAACTGAGACTTTTTTAACGTTCATTTTGTATTGCTTAAAGGAGCAGATGATGGTTGCCCAACTATAGAAGAGAGGATACAGGGTTGGTCAAAAACATTGAACTATCAAAAGACCTAAAATGATTGAACAATGTAATTGATTTACGTTTATTGTAATATAAGGCACGGCCACCGCTAAAACCTCCTGTTTCTTTGTTCAGTGTACTGCTGGTGACTGCAGTACACACCAAAATCTTAGCTTAGGGCAAGAAATATATAAACCAGGAACAGACATATTCGATGCTTTAATTGTGAACTGCAGTGGGAGGAGATCAAAACGAAGAATTCAGGGGCAACGCATCATTTTTGAATAAGAATATTGCTTTTGTATTTTCCATAATGACCAGGAAGCCAAAAATCATACGTATTCGCTCTAACATGATAAATTAACTTTTTTTGTTAGACTGTAATATCACATCAGAGCTTTAGTCCTTTCCCTTCAACTTCTGTGGGGGCACTGGGTTTGTTTACAATCCTCCCACAGAGCACAGTACACAATTTGCGTATATCTGAGTTGGGCGTTCCTGTATATAGTTCCTTGGCTTAGGGTAAGGGTTTAAAAATTTCCTTAAGAGGTAAAAATCAAATATTTTTGTATCCTTAATATAATTTATGTTTGCTTTGCCCACAAAAATGTATATCTCTTATATATAAAAGTATCGAAAAATCTGTTTGATCAACTGTTAAATAAAAGTGGTGACAGGGAAAGTATCCCAGGTAGGTTTTATTTAACGAAATTTAACTTTTTATTTAAGCTTTATTATAAATGTTTGCATGACATAATAATTAAACTAGGTTGAAACAGTGAAAGAACATTTTATTTTCAGTTTTATTAGTTTTTGTTCTTTTAAACTTGGATCGTTTTTTTGCCCCGCAAAGCTAGTTTTACTCAATAAGAACTAGGATTTATTCTTGAAACATTTGAAACATTGCCGGAGAATATTTAGCATTTTTTGTTTATTGCGTTGTTTTATTTTGTTTAAATAAAATGTCAAATTGTTTGCGTAATTGTCTAGATATTTAGTGTTGGATCAGTAAGATCATTGACCTAAAAACGAGCTGAATATTTGAAAAAATTACGAACTTTTTACTAAGGCGACAATTTTAATATTGACCAGCCATAGTCAATCCATTTGGTCCATTTGGTACTAATACAAACATCAGACTGTACAACAAATCAGACTGGTAAAATCGGACTGGTAAAAACTACTGACTAGAACAAAAGTCGGAGTTGACGAAAATCAAACAGTACATGAACAGACGTCTAACCAGTACAGGTACAAGAAAAACAACTTGGTTAAAATGTAAGATGAAAATGATGACAAAATTGCAATTTTATCGTTTAACAATATGCAATCTTACAGAATAATTAAAATTAATTAAGACTGCCTTAACCCAGCAGAATATTGGCCGCAGAGCTTAAGTTTGAAATAATATTAACCTTTGCTAGTAGCCTAGAATATACCATTGGGCTAGTTTGGCGTTTTCACCTTCATAGCGGTTTTTTATTTTGTCTATTTCACTGAGTTTTTTACGCTATGTCGGTGAACCAGTTTGTGGATTTCAAAATGAATTTTCCTTCTAAATACCAGTTTGTGGATTTCAAAATGAATTTTCCTTATAAATACCAGTTTGTGGATTTCAAAATGAATTTTCCTTATAAATACCAGTTTGTGGATTTCAAAATGAATTTTCCTTATAAATACCAGTTTGTGGATTTCAAAATGAATTTTCCTTATAAATACCAGTTTGTGGATTTCAAAATGAATTTTCCTTCTAAATGTATCATTTTGACGACGTTTGTAAGTCAGACCTAATGTGCCGATCTATTCCCAGTCCAATGTTGATAGGCCTGCGCGACGTTTTAACTGTATATCATCTCTAATTTGTTCAAAATTCAAACTATATATTTTTCATTGAATGTGAATTTGCTGTTTTGTGTAATGTGTACTCATATTGTTAAATGGGACGTGAAAATAAAATTTGCTATTAATTCCCATTTTTCTAATAGGACCGTCTGGATAGAAGGAGAAAAAGATCACAAGATATATCTGACTGGTTGGAAGGAAAAAATATTGATTCATTTTTATAACACTTATCAATTAAACCAATAGATTTCGCATAAAAACATTTTATTTGTTTAAATAGAACAATGCAACAAACATTATTTCACTGTTTTTTTTTCTTCTCAGACTCGGAAAATTTAAAGATCCAGACATCCAGCTCACCTGAGGAGGTATTAGAAATTAATCTCTTTAAGCTTTGCAATCATACATAATGTAGAGTGACCCTTAAAATGTGACATTCTTAAAACAAAATCACAAAATTGCCAAAATTCTGCTGATATTGCAAAAAAATGTTTCGCCCATTTTGTGCTTTCAAAATTACCCGCAGGTCCCGTATTTCCAATGTATTTCCATCATCCCAAAACTGTACTGCATCGTAAGGACTCCTTATTTAAAAGACAGTTTAGCTTGATCTCTCCCTCTAAGAGGAAGTGAAGCCCAAACCTCATTGTTATACTTCTCTTATGACGCATTTACTCTGCTTTGAAGCATGAATATAATCCCTCAAAGAGGAAGGAAAAGTCTAGTCCTAAGGCAGCGAGGTCATTTCCATCCTTCCTTAAATAGGAAGTTGTCGGAAAACGACCCTGGTACCATCGGAACTCACTTTTCCTTCCTTATATAGGAATGATAAATGTTTCGACGCAGATAAAATGCGTCATAAGAGAAGTATAACAACGAGGTTTGGGCTGAACTTCCTATTAGAGGGAGAAATCATGTAAACTGCCTTTTTAAATCAGGAGTTCTTAGGAGGCATTTCAGTTTTGGGACGATGGAAAACAGGGGGGATATGAAAAAAAATTTCTTCATGTCATATTAAATAAAACCATCATTTATTGTACAAATCTCCATGCAATACGTACGATTTAAAATCATAATTCAAGTTTCTATTCACATAATTTACCTAACTATAACTGATTTCTAGATAGATCCAAGAGTATCAAATGAACAAAAGCTTCAACGTTTGGTTTGCTTGTTCATTTGTACTGTTTTACCTCTGATGGTATTGACTTCAACACTTCTCAGGTTTGTAAAATGCAAGCAATTTTGGCTGCCCTAAGAAGACCTAGAATAAAGGAATTGAGTGTTTGCTACAAACTCAAATTTCTTATTCTTATATCTTGGCAGCCCAATGTCATAGACCTTAGATATTTCAAACTTTGAAATCTGTCATATCAATTAATCTAAGTTAGAAATATCATAGATTTGAACCATCCGGTTGCAGAGATATAGGGAATAGAAGATGTCAGTTTGTAGCAAAAACTCAGATCCTTTGAAAACCTCTTGTTTATTTTTACGAATTGTAAATTTTAATCCAAGTTAAAAATTAATTTCGCTATCTGATACCTGATTCATTAAATCATTAAATCATTAAATCATTAAACTCCCCAAATCCTTTTGAATGTCGTCTTTACAAAGGATTGTCTCTGGCCAGAGTCTTAACACACACACCTAACCAAACCTTCTCCGACAGTCGATTCGCAACCAAAACTAAAATCCACGTTGAAGTGATATAAGTTAAAATTTTAAAAAAATCCTTTCTTTTAATCCAGCAATTATTTTCAGAAGACAATCATGTTTTAGTCACAAACCAATCACTCCTCTTTTTGTGTGTTTAAGACTCAATCGTAAGTTACTTCTTTTTAAAATGGAAAATATGATTTAATTAACAAATCAATATTATGAATAGCATTACAATAGTTTATAAATGTATACCCCGCTCACCCAACAACTTAAAAGCTGTGCCATTTCATAATTTGTATTTTCTTAAGTTCAGTCGCCTGTCATTTTTGTAAATATATACCCGTATTTCGATATCATGTTAAACATTATAATTACATCATTTATGTTTTCAGGTTTGAAATAAATATTATTTGCAACTATTGTCGATACATCAAGAAGAGAGAGACCAGTCACCTTTGTTAAACTCTCACAAGGGCTAATCAAGTCCTGAACATATGTCAACACTGATATCTTGTCAAACCCATGCTCTTAAATTTATTTTAAGTTAATCAGTTAATAATAAGTGCATTCCTTGAATTTAAATGTTTTCTTCCAAAAAAATAATGTTACTCAGGTTATTAGACATTTAATCGAAGTTTTTATCTTTAAGCGATACCATGTTCAGACAGACATTTAAATCTGTGGCGTAAAAGCTTTAGATTTTTTTTAAATCGTGTTTGCTTCCATTATACTTTGTAACTTGTTTTACTTATTTTAATTTTAATATACATTAACATAAAAGATCGCCTTTTCAAATTAGTGCAATTTTCTCGTTGTCTAAATTTTCCAATACGAAAGAGACAATTCATAATTTTGTTATTAAAAGAATAAAAATAATGAGTAGGTTCATAATGCTAACATGTGACATTGTGCAATTTACATACATGGTTGATTAATCTTACAAACTACTTAGATTGTGGTATACTGGAGCTTTTCAAACCACTGCAGTAGGTATTTTTATATGGCTAATTTCTAAATATTTGATTTGCTAATTTTTTCATGTTCAGGCTCAGAGCAAGCAGGGAATTTCAATGCAACTTAAAAATTCGGAATTTTCAAGAAATAACTTTTATTTTATCGAGAAAAATATTCAGAAAAAAATACATTTGCAAATCCTATTAAAAAAATTTGTTTGTTTTATTTGGTTTTTATTTTCAAAAAGAATTGTAAACTAAAAAACTTTTTTCTCTAAAAAAGTAGTTTTTCATGGCATAACGATTCTCTTCATTTTGTCTTTTTTTTATGTAAAATATGCTATTTGCTGTATTATCCTGTTCATATAATGTTGTTCTATACATAGAGAATAGAGCATATATTAGAGGGGAATTTAAAGAATCTCGGTATGAATTTTTTCAGTCCCTTTCAGTCTGAAAGGGAGTTCAAAGTGTACAAATCATGTAAATGTTCAAAAATTATATGCAGTAGAGTACATTAATACAGTATGTTCCCTAGACTATTCATTTCAATTTAGAATTTTTTAAACTGTTAAATAAACTTTATAATGAATTAGTTGAATAAAAAACATCATTTGATTTATAGTTATAACGGAAAATCGTCGTTTGTAAAGTGAAAGGCATAGAGACTATGTGAAATGATCATTGGTCAATTATGAAACCAGCCTATTTCATAATTTGGTTTTCTTTTAACAATAATTTTAGGTTTTCTATAAAATTATATTCCAGGGCCCAAAAGGTTATATAGCATAAACATGTGAAGTACACCTGCAGTATGGAAACAGTACAACAAAATGGCCGTTTTACACTTTTTTCTAATAAATTCCACTCTGATATATATTCTATTATCTATGGTTCTATATTTGCTTTGTGTATATTTGTATTTTAAATCTGTTGAAATAAACATAGAAAAAGATCAGAAATTACTGCAAGCATTAGTTTTCATTGCTGGAAAGAAGAAATTATAGAGAAAGACAAGTCACATTTATGCTTAAGACAAGTGTTTCCAGCAAAACAGGAAAAACGCTTCGCGAACAATTTGCATTTTCGCATTTTGTTCGCACCCGAAAAGTTCGAAATTTTAGCTTTAATCTGTTTCGCAAAAAAAATCGCAATTTTCACGTAAAAAGAAATGCCACAATTTCGTGAAAATAATGGCGAAAATTCCACAAGACAGTCAAAATTTCGCGGAAAAATCGGGACTAATCAGAAAATTTAAGAAGAATGAATCATTTCGAAAAATTTAATAAGGCTAATAAAAACATTTCTTGCAGAAAATGCTAAGTTTTTCGAGTATTGTGTTTATTTTGACGTATGATATGGGACGCTCTGCATAATAAAACTTTAAAGGCGCCGGGCTCCAACAGGAGAGAATTTTGTGTGCAACTAATTGTTGCAGCAACAACGCTTATAGTTTCACGGAATTTCTTTTTCGCATAACTATTTTTCAGCGTAAAAGCCAAAATAGAAGCTTGTATATCTTTAATTAAATATAGGTTAAAGACGACCTCTATGCCGACCCTTAAAGATATAGGCTTCAGGGTTCAATATTTATTAGAAATAATTTGATTATACTCGTCCTTATTCTAGTACTTTACCAATTAACGTTATGTGTCTTAGTTTTTTGCTTTAATGCACGCATAAAATCCATAGAGAATGTGACCCACAAATATTCAAAAATGATCAATTCTTAAATTACTACATGTGTGTCCCAAAGAACATACGGGAATTCAGAAGTACTAACATTTTTCCCTCTAAGAACGTGAATTTTAAAACTGAAAACTGCGGAAAAACATAGAACTCTAAATTAAACAAAAATATAAATATTACTAACGTTTTTTTTCATTTAAAGATACAATATAAAAGCACATCACAGAATTGAGCACTTTGTAATGTAACTGCATCGGTGAGGACTGAATGAATACGATTGGAATTTATAAATCACAGATTAAAAACTATCCTGACGGAACATATAAAAAAATTATATAAAAATAAATATTTACATCTTTTGAATGTTATAGCACGCCCAACAGTGACATTGTATAATGGAAAACATTACTTCAATAAGCCATTTCAATTGAAATTGACATTATAAATATGATATAAAGAGTGGATTGAAAAAAGCTAAAAAAACAAAATAGTTTTTTATCATTAAAAAACAGGATAGGGGCCTACAACATCTTTTCAACTGGGCATGAAGTGAACAAGTTTTCAAGGTCTTTGAGAGGATCCTTTCAAGGCCACAGAGGATAGCCTACATATTTTTGATTACAACGACATTTAAAACAAAAATGTGTAAAAGACGAACCCCTACCCATTTTATGGGCATTGTAGCAGTAATCACTAAGAAAACATTAATTTCCATCTTTAAAATATACTAATTGTGTACCCTGACTGTACCTTTATTAACAAACACTGCCAGAAATGTTTAATCACTCAATTCGATTCTACGCAATTCAATTAATTTGTGTTTGGACGTAGATGAGTTTTTGTGCGAGAAACACGAATTTTATCACTAGGTTCAATAATGATGGCTGTGCGATCTTTTCACTTTATTTGTCGTCTTTGCTTTTCCAGCACTGGGTGCTCGACCTTCAACCTTACGACGTTTCGATATCAGTTCTTGAAGTACATGTAAACCCTCTTCTAGTCCATCACCTGTCACTCCACAGGTGGGTTTAATGGCCCATCCAACACCCCGGCCCAGTTCACTCAAACCTAGACCTTTCTCCAGTTTTACTGGGTCTATGGCACCAGGCAGATCCTGCAATAATGAAAATTATTTCTTTTTATGAGATTTATTCTTAATGCTTACTTATTTATTACTTATTAGTTGGTCATGAATAAAAATGTTTTTCATAAAATTGACAAAAAAGTCAACCCATTTTATTAACTTTGTTAACTAGATGAAGTTCCCGTAGTTGCCCGGGGAATAAAAAAAAACGGATTTTTGAAGAAAAAAATTGATCTTAGAAAAAAATTTTTTTTGCCTATATTACCCCCAGGGTAACCATGAGTTCCCTCAACAAATGTCAGCCAATTTGGTCCAGCCGTTCGGCCAACTATAGCGAACGTAAATAATAAAAAAGGATTTTTTTTTGGGACCAAAAAAATTTAATTTTTGAAAAACTATTAAAAAACCCCAGGGCATATTTTTAACTTTTGAATATACGAAGAAGAAATTAACTAAAGCATTTAAAATTTTTCCTTAAAAATTTGACCAGAACTGAAAATTGAGAGAAAAAAGGTTGTAGCATTGTTTTGGGCAAAAAAAATTTGAAAATTTTCAAAAAAAATTTAAAAAACACCATACAGAAGACATGCCCAGAAAAGTACACTTTTCACCAGGCGCCGCTAATCACACTTTGACTCACCCTGTATATATATTCACATAAATACAAATATATGTATACGAGCGAAGAGCTTTTTTATATAGATTAACCAAGGTAAGTTGTTATTTTCATCACAAATTATCAAAAAATTGTATACATAAAACAAAAAGATTCTAGCCCGTGGGAAGATTCCAATATATTTGATAAATTGCATCGTTAAATTACGGATGAATAGTCATAATAAAAAGCAGTGTTGAAAAAAATTTAAAATGTATTTATGTTTTTTTTTCAGAATATATAAATGATTATTTCTTGTAATTATATCTGTAATTGAACAAGGTTCTAAACAAATTTTCTTAGGCGCTCCGTGCACAAATGAAAAGAATTGATGGACTCATATCGTTAATTTTACAGTTGTTTGAAAGTATAAATTTTTAGAATTCACAAGAAAAAAAACGATTTGAATTGAATACATTCAAATCTACATGCAACAACTAAATTTTTTTTTCGACATAAAGACCTTAAAAAGCACTTTAATTTTGAAAATGTTTCAAAAGGGGGCAAGCCCCCCCCCCCCCCCCCCCCAGCAAAAAGTGCTAGTTGCGCCTCTGGATCCGACATCCTCGATCAGTCAATGATTTAAAGGGATCGGAAATAACGCTCCACAAATGAAGGGTCATTTGGATTAAGTCTACAATCCCTTAATAAGAACGTATAATAACTAATAATAGCAAAAGTGTCGACTGTATACAAATAGTATTTACCTGTTTATTAGCTAGGACTAGTATAGGCACTGCACATCTTTCTGTAAGTTTTGCAATCTTTAAAAGTTCTAATCTCGCCTCCTCTATCCTGTCAACGTCACTGCTATCCACAACAAATATTATTCCGTCTGTACACCTAAATAAAGAAAAAACATTTACCAAATTGTCTTTTAGATCTGGTGAAAGTAGCGCTCTCAAAACAAGGTCTAAAATTCCGTCAGATTTAATGTATAGTGAAAAGTAATTGAATTAGATATTGCTAGGTATAGTGCGCTCTCGACCAAACTAGAAAAGTGGTTTAACTACCAATCATTAATTCAACTACTTTGGCGTCTGAGTCCTACTGACCTCTGATGTGGTTTTGAATTGAACCAATTAGACAAGGAGCATACTTTACACTTAAGCAATTGAATGAAAGCAAACTGTAAATCTATGCGGCAGATATAATGTTGCAGATATTTAATAATCACCTGGTATAGCTTCTCCAGAGAGGGCGTGTTTTGTCCTGCCCGCCTACATCCCAGACTAGAAAATTATGTCCTTTGACTCCACCAGCATCTCCAGTTTTGATCTAAAAGAGAAAATAAAGGTAAAACAAATTGCCAACCGTACTTCTGGCCCGCAACCTAAGGGTCAGGTTTGTGTGAGAAAGCGGTATTGGTAAAAGTTAAATTATGCACGGTAGAAACTCATCTGTCACGTACTTGAGGCCGGACCAGTTTAATGCAAAAACTAAAAAGTATCTAAAGCGTGGACATAATCTAACCCTACAACTTAATTAACCTATCAATTTATTAAAGATCAGTTAATGTCCCGAAATTTTAATTTAATATCACTCTTCCGTTCAACAACCCCTCAAGAATCACTGAATCAGTATTCAAGCTCCCCCTAATCATTCTTAATCCTGTGCGCTGCACTACATACAGTATATCCTTCTTACCTATTAGGCTATTATTCAAATCATGATATGCTGTATACATATAATACATACATATGCATAATATTAACCCTTACGAGGTGATAAGCTATTCTAGCAACCTTCCAAGCCCCTTTATCTAAAAATGGTAGATTATACAAACTACGTCTGCACCAATGTATGATTTCCCAAGTAAACGGAATCAAAGATAAAAAACCGTAGATTGTAACCCACTGGACCGCCCCGCGCCTCTCTTTAATTTGGAATTCCTCGCNGTAAAGTAATACAACGGTTTAGACTATAGGATAGATGCTATGTAAAGTACTACAACGAGTTAACTATTCACTGTGCCCTTTAAATGAAAAGAGCAAGAGGTTTAAAAAGAAAAGAAAATGGACAATTATACCATGTAGCTCTTTGTCAGGGCTATTTAGAACAAATTTCAAATAAGTTTTAACTTTTACTTTTTGTCATTTATTCCCATTTTTAGCTTAGTTTTTATATAGTGTCAAGTTTTATTTACAAAAAAAACACTCAAAATGATTAAAATATAATATAATATTTTTTCAAAAATGCTGACGAGGAATTCTCTGACAAATTAACATCAAAATATAAAAATGTCTTGAAGATAAAACAAAGAATATCTTTTTGTCTTTTTCCTTTATTCCAATTGTCAACTTTGCATTTTTGAAGTATTTAATTACATAATTTGAGTATGCAAACCAAATAGAAATTCCGCATTCCGGTAAAACAGACACAACTTTTATATAGAATATTTTCAACAAAACTAAAATAACATTACATTTCAGATTCATCGAATAATTTATTTCAGCATGTTTTTAATACATTTGAGTAAAAGTTGACAAAGAAATAGACATTAAGTAGAATCAAACTTTTTAATGTATCCTATAGCAAAGTTGATAAATGTACATGAAAAAAAGCTGATGGAAACGTAAAAGTAAAAATAATTTAAGAAATTTATTTCAAATTTCTTTTTTCCTAAATTGTGAGCGTAACTGCGCCAATATTTAAAGAATTTCTGTAAATTCTGCAATAAGATGTTCATCTAAAGCTAAAAACTGAGGGGTTCAAATAATTTGTTATCTAAGCACATTGATTTTCATCTCAAAACTGTATTTTTTATAACATGTAAACCTGCATGACAGCCTTGATTTTTATTTCCAATTATCAATTTGTCGTTTTTTACACGTTTTACAAAAATGTCAGTACCTAAATCGGATTTGTTTCAATTTTTACCTTAAGAGACTCCTACCAGCGCGCTACCTTTTTACACGTTTTTTACACGTTTTTTACACGTTTTACAAAAATGTCAGTACCTAAATCAGAGTTGTTTCAATTTTTAACCTTATGAGACTCCTACCAGCGCGCTTCCTTTTTACACGTTTTTTACACGTTTTTTACACGTTTTACAAAAATGTCAGTACCTAAATGTCAGTACCTAAATGTCAGTACAAAAATGCCAGTACCTAAATGTCAGTACCTAAATGTCAGTACCTAAATGTCAGTACCTAAATGTCAGTACCTAAATGTCAGTACCTAAATGTCAGTACCTAAATGTTAGTACAAAAATGTCAGTACCTAAATGTCAGTACCTAAATGTCAGTACAAAAATGTCAGTACCTAAATGTCAGTACAAAAATGTCAGTACCTAAATGTCAGTACGTAAATGTCAGTACCTAAATGTCAGTACAAAAATGTCAGTACGTAAATGTCAGTACCTAAATGTCAGTACCTAGATGTCAGTACAAAAATGTCAGTACAAAAATGTCAGTACCTAAATATCAGTACCTAAATGTCAGTACCTAAATGTCAGTACCTAAATGTCAGTACCTAAATGTCAGTACAAAAATGTCAGTACAAAAATGTCAGTACCTAAATCAGAGTTGTTTCAATTTTTAACCTTAAGAGACTCCTACCAGCGCGCTACCTTTTTCTTCTTTTTCCTATTTTCTTGAATTTACAAAAATATCTGTATAATTTAATAGATTAGACTCTATAGAAATCTATTTTCCAATTTCTTCTTGTCAAAAGATTTATAAATTTAAGCCTTTCTTAAAACTTGTTCTTCATTGATACCAATATGAACTAAGATTTTAATCTAGAATAAATTCAAAGGAATTGAGTTTTTGCCACAACCTCAAATTTTCTAATTTCTATATCTCTGCAACCAGTGGGTGTAAACCTTTGATATTTCAAACTTAGATTATTTGACCTAACAGAATTAATAGTTTGAAATATCTAAGGTCTACGACATTGGGTTGCCAAGATATAGGGACAAGAAAATTTGAGTTTGTGCCAAAAACTCAGTTCCTTTTAACCTGAACAAACTCTTTCAATTTTCATAAATATGACACTTTGGCTAATTCACTGGTCTATTTATATAATGAGAGTGTTTACAACAAAATATCTTCCAGGGATCATGTTCATTGATTATATAATAACCTTTTTTAAAACTACTTAAAAACGAACAATTTATGAATGAATAGTAGAATTAATTCAAAATGCATTGTTAAAATTCATAAAATTAGAACTAAAGTGTAGGCTAAGGGCGCCCATCAGCGACTAAATAGGATAACTTTAAGATCTAAATACATCAGGTCGCATACATAAAACATATATTGTTGTTTTATAATAAGTTTTGATAAAAATATTCATTTCTAATGATTTAGGAACTATCTATCTTTAATATCTCAAAAATTTACTATCTTATAGCTTATAATGCAGAAGGTCTGCGACATCAGGTTACAAAGATCTATAAATTAGAAAATTAAATTTTGTTGCTAGTAATCAGTATTTCATAAATTGAGATGAGAAAACTCCATAGTAAAAAATAGGAATTTATAAAAAAACCAAGCTAATACTGGAACTAATGATAAAAAGGATAGGATACAATTTAACTAACAGAGCCCTTACATAGATGAAACAATTGTCCGTTTTAAGTTGACATTTCAATCCTCTCCCTGCACTGAACTTTTTTTAATTTGTTAAACTAGTGTTATAATATATCTTTGTTTTAACTTTATGTTCTACAATATTATTATTTTTAATTCTGTAATTTAAAATTTGATGTTGATGCATGATCCAAACCTCATAGAGTAAATAAAGTAGATGTTATAAGTTTTACATTTTTTTAAACACACTAAATTCGGTCTGGGTTGACACTTTTCACTTCTTGAGATTTGTTTCTCTCATGAAAATTCAAACCAAACTCTGTAATTACTAATTGTCAACTAGAACAACTGCTGCTTTAACAATATTTATAATTAGGCTAGGAACCCAGGTTAGCCTGGAAATTTAAACTTTCCCTGTTAACATCATCTCATTAAACCTTTAAACCAAGCCAAGAGCATGTCCAGTGTTCCTAGATATTTCCACAACTAAAATTGAGTCAAATCAGTCAAGACGTTCCTGGGTTTTCATAATTATAATCGTACATTCTAAAATAACATTCAGAAATGAATACTTTATTTGTATAGATACCACTAATACGTTTTAAGATTAACCGACGTTGGGTCAAACGACATGGTAAGATGCCATAGGGTCAAACGACATAGAGTCAAACGACAAACGGTCAAAAACGCGAAAAAGGGTAAAACGACAATTTTATGCTATGTTTTACGTTCATTTGAACTACTAGCCGCAGCGCTATGCCCCTAGCCTGTCCTAGCCGCAGCGCTCGGGCCAGAAAATGGCTTAACCTAGAACATAATAATAATATATTTTTTTTTCATTTTCACCCTTTGTCGCGTTTTTGACCGTTTGTAGTTTGACCCTATGTCGTTTGAACCCTGTGTCGTTTGACCCGTTTTAATATATAAAAAAACAAAACAAGTCTAGCATTTAAGCAATTTAATGCTCAACTATAATGCTACAATATCACAATTAACCACTTCTCCGAATATTTATTATAATGCAGCTAATAATCCACCTTTCCTTAACAACCCTTAACATTGAATAATGAGTGCAACAGAAGTATTTTTTTTTAAATATTAAATAACTATATGCAGCGCCCTAGTTTAAATTAGTTAAGGCAAATGTTGCAAAGAAAAATTAATTAATCAATCTAGTGGCAACAATGCAAATGACTATGATTAGCAAATGGGTATAGAGCTAGTAAATACGCCTCTAATTACTAAAATACTTTTTGAAATGATTCTTGAATATCTTAAAAGAGGTAATTTTCTGAATATCTGTGATTAAACAAGCTGATAAAGCCAATACGTAAACTACCACTCAAGACTTTTACCAATGTTTAAATGATTGAGTGAGTCTAATTCTTTGTATACAAATATTTTAACGGAAACATTCTTAGTGTAGAAGCTTCCGCTTCCTTTAGAACAAAACCAACAGAGTGACGCTATCTATCTAACTATCTATCTACATGTATCGTGCAAATTAAACCTGTGGTGCATAGATGTATGTTTGCACCACATCCTTTCATCCTTACATCCTTTCACCCACCCACCCACCTACTGAAAATTTAAATTTTGATAACATTGCTTCAACTGATTCTCAACTATTTTGAACCATGCGAGCATAGGTGGATACAAAAATTTATTAGGGGTGAGAGAAACTTGTATTAAATCTGCAAGAAGCCTCATCTAGGGTAACCCAGACCGTCTACAAGAATATCCTAACATAAATTATTCTGAAAGTCTTATATTTTTAACTGTTTAAGACTTAAAAAATTATGTGTGCTTTTTCCAAAATCGAATGAAGATTTATTGTAATCAAATAATTTATTAATTTAAATTTAGGGCTATTTCAATTATCTATAACAAATGTATCTCATTTTAATTCTCTGTAACAAATGTATCTCATTTTCTATTGAAAACTCCAAGCATGAAAATCAAAAATATGTCCTAACTTTTGCAAGATTTTTGTTTACATGCTTGTCAGATTTTGATAAATCATAATTTATAATTTAGCTGTAAAAAAAAATGTTCTCAATAAGATCAC